CCCCGTGAGGGGCCGGGGCCGCACCACGGGGCCTCAGCATCGGCCGCGGGTCCTTGCACAGGCACAGCCCGCGCCTCGTTAGGAGCTGCGTTAATGATGGCTGAAGGGGAGCTGCAGCCGCTCAGTGAGTGAGGTCTGAAATAAATCCTTTCCCCTGCACCTTTTCCCCATCTACAGGAGGGCACCTACACCCCGGCTCTGATCCTGGGCTGCACTGGGAGGGACCTGCCCTCTCTGCCCCTCCAGACTTCCAGTCTGATTTCTGGGTACCAGGGTAACCTCATTACCCTAACGACCTGATTACCTTCACCCACACACCAGAGCACACCTGTGTGCGTCTGGCTGGGCCGTGTGCTCTGGCCCCGTTTGCTGCCCGTGAGCAGCCCCTGCTCTCTGCGTGGGCAGCCTGGTCCTCAGCCCTGCGCTCCCTACGCACGCCCCATTTCCCCTGTCCCCCAACCTGAGCAGCCGGGTCTGTCCCGGTGCAGTGCGGTGCGCCTTGGCTGCCAGCTCTGCTGCCTGCTGCGTGCCTCGGTGGGCTCGGCTCCCACCGCGTGGGAACGGTGCCCGTCGGCAATGGCCGCTAGTGATGGCCAGGGTACTTTGCAACGTAGTAGTAACACTTTAATCTCAAGTCACAAAACCACATCAAGATGGGCTCTGATTTGCTTCTGATCAAAGCAGTCTGATAACCCTGCTGCCATGAGGGGCGAGAAACCCGCTGCTTGGCCTGCCAGGGCTCAGTTGGGGCAAGAGAAGCAGAATGAAGGTCAAAACCAAGTATTTATTCAGGAATTATAAATTACAGATGATTTACTCCACTGGTATGGATAGGTTTTCTTTTCAGTAAACTCCATCTCACTGTTTATCATCTTTCTGTAAATAATGACAAAAGTTTGGACTACCACAAGGACAAGGAGCGTAACTTACTTTTGGACCAAAACATCCCATCTATGAGATGCAGATAGATCCTATGCAACCAAAAGCTCTCGGGCCAGGACAGATGTTGGCAGTTTGGTAGGACGCGTCTAATCAGATGTTTGCATCGCTTTCTTTAGGACAAGTGGCAAACGGCCCTTGAGGTCGAGGTTGGTGTGTGTAGGGAGGAGCTGGCTCACTTCTGAAACGGATGTTTCTCACCCCAAACCCTCTCCGTGTCGGTCATTTATGTTCCCTCTTCAGCACTGCTCTTCCTGGGTAACTTGTGCAAAATATCCTCAGCAGCACTCAGCAGAAACCGGGAAAGCCTCTCGGGAGACACCGGGTAATTGCTCCTTCCCAGGTGAAATAATTTGGGGCAGATTCTGGCTGCCTGGGAAGCACCACTGAAATCCAGCAACGCATCTCCCAGGGACGCGCCAGGGGAAACTCTGCTTTCTGCCTCAATCTATTTCTAAACCTTAATCGCTGAGAAAAGTGACAGGACACAGACCTCTAGGATCATTGTGCTGAGTAGTAGAGACACAGCAAGTACAATATAACTGAAGTACTCCTTTTTGATCTTAAATAATGCCTGGGCATAACTTCACTAGTGCCCATTGGGGACCAGGTTTTACTGATGCCTGTTTATGCCTAATCCCTGGAGAAGAAATTACAAGCAAAGAGTAATTGGAAAATGGAAAAATGATAAGAAACAGATACGTGTTTGCTTCATTGTCAAAATCCCCACGATGGGTTTCAATACACCGGGCCCTTCCGTCCCCGCTGTGCCGCTGCTCTCTGGGCCCCTTTTGTGTCGTGTCCCCATCTCTGCGTCCCCGTAACGAGCCTGTGCTGATTGAGCCTGTCAGCACCGCACATACCCATGGCTCCTTCCAGGGACGTCCTGTGTAAAGCTAACCCCACCTGCGCTGAACTCCTGCAGGCAACGGGAGCCTCTTTCCTCCCCGCGCCGCCCCAGCGGTGATTTGCTGTCACCGGCTGGCTGGCACGGACTGGGGTGGGGATAGGGAGTTCATGTCTGGGGGTGCGCCGGTGTCGTTCGTAGCCGTCGGTGTGGAATGAGTCCTGGGCTGCTGCTGTCTGTGTGACTGTCTGTGGAGGGCCACCTGCCCGAGTCCTTGGCGGGGCGGTGCACAAGGTGTTGGGGGGCAGCTCACCGGGGCCGGCAGGGGAGCCGGCCCCTGCCACCTGCCTCCCGCAGCGAGAGCTGAGCTAGCGATGTGGGGCGTGATGTGTGCCGCTGAGGACGCCGGGCTGGTGCGAAGGGTTATTCTCTGCGAAAGGGCTGGTTCCTGTGAAAAACAGTGGCTTTGAAATTCTGTGAACTGCTCCTCTCCTGTTATTCTCTCTGTTGCGTTAGAGCCTGACGCAGCTCCAGATGTGAGCAAAACTCACAGTGAAGTCATGAAATACTCCTGGTACCAAACCACATCATGCAGAGCTTGAAAGAAGTCAATAGCAGCTCTGGTTTACATCTCCACTACAACCAGAATACAATAATTTTCTGTATATAAATATTTAAATACATGTATTTTTTGTATGACAGATTTATACAGGGTGTGCATTATTCGCTGTGAAAAGTCTACATCGCCTGTAAATTATTCTCCTTAAATTCCTTGCCATAAGATTGTTTTCTTATCTCCATTGTATTAAGAAGTTTTGCAAAGTTGCATATTTTTAAGTGTTTCCATTGAATTCCACAGACTTCACTGGGAGTTTTGCATAGAAAACAAATGCCAGATCATGTCCTGATGGTTCTTCTGTTGTCAATTCTTTATTTCTCTATACCTTGCCAAAAAGAGAATAAGAGTAATAAAATAATAGCAAAAAGGCCAATAATATGAACTTGATATTGGACAGTGCTGAAATCCTGATGCCTTGGTAGGGTATTTTTTAAAATTATTTCAGTGGAAATATATGTAAAGTATATCTTTGTATTTTATGTTAATACATCTCTGTAATTTTATTGCATGAAAATTCTACCATGTCACAGAATATTTAAGTTATGACAAGTTTGTGTTTTTGCAGATACTGCGAGAAGCCATTGCATATGTGGAGTAATAAATGTGTATTTTTAACATTGCCAGATATTTGTTGTCATTTCTAGGTTATCGATCTGTAGAAAAAAACATTGAATCTTATAAAAAGTGGATGTTATAATTCCATTTCTTGTTTACATATCACAGACTGGAGCTGTTTAGCATCCAAATTACACCAGTTGGTGTAACAGCCAGAACATACCACCAGCCTGCTGTGTGCGCACTGCCTGCTACCGACGGCAGCTCCCCGGCTGGCCAGCAGTACTTTACAGCCGTGTAGCGAGCAGGTCAATATGCCAAGTATTTTTCATTTGCTGCAAATCGCGTGGCACGGCGCGGTGCCTGGCAAAGCCGGGTGGTTGCAGCTGATGGTTATGTGGCTGTGTGAAGGCATGAAGCACGAAAGCACCAAAATGCCGAAAGTTTTCTGAAGCCCAGCCGTAACCCCAGAGCCGGTGGGACGCTCCCTGCTAGCGCAGAGCCAGGGGTGGGTCATGAGCTGCAGAACATGGCCATGAGCCTCCTTAGCAACTGCAAAACAGGCATGAAAAGGGGAACAGCTGAACCCAGACATTTTAGAGTGTCCCACTTTCCAGTGTCAGTTAGAGGGTATTTATCATTCCTTAGGGAGAGTTTATCTTTACAGATAAAGGGCTGAGGGCCTTTTTGGTGGTGGGTTTGGGGTCTCGGTGAGGATGAGGAGAGCCCTGGGCATGGCCACCGTCCTAGGTAGCCTCTGCCCACACCGGCCCCTGCTTGGGGAGGACCTGCACTGCACAGCTCTGAGTCACTCAGTTCGTAACGGGCTTGTGCTGGGCTGGTGCCTGGGAATGAGACCGGAGAGCAGGGCAGTGTGTGCTGGGTTGCACCCGCGCAGGGGCCGGGGCAGGGTCATCATCATCACCATCGAGGCACCGGCAGCCGCGGCTGTGCTCCCGTTGGC